AAATAATACCTCTATAAAATTCGTAATGAATCGAAACACAGCAAAAACCACACTTCTATATATAACCCATACTATACTAAACTATACGCGTAACCAGGAAATTTCTACTTTATGGTGTGTAACTGCATCTCATGTAATTCAAAGTACCCTATTTACAACATATGTATCACGGTGTTAACACCAGAATTGTTATATTCAATTTTACGGTGTGTAACCACATTTCATGTCACGTTTTGTTTCCATGCAAAGTTACAAAATATGTACTACGGTGTTAAATAGATGTTTAAATTTCAGAATAAGTATCAAATATGAAAGCTAGGAATAAAAATTCAACAACGAATGGCTTTTTGATAGAAATATCAAACTATCAAAGGTATGTTTGTATTCTTTATTATGTAATAAGTATATACATTGTACCATGATTGCTTGATTATAATAGAATAAGATCAATTTCAGTACAATGTACTAGGCCTGAAACAGTAATTTGTAAATAGTTTTCATTAGAATTCAAATAAACACAAATTTGTGCATATATTTGATAAGCGGTATGTTTTAAAATAATAATGCAAAACTAATATAAACATTAAATTTACGGAAGAAAATATAGGCCTTTTTGGTTACATCAAATCGTAGTGTTATCTACATTAAAAACGTGTACATTTGAATCTACAGATGAATAAATACCTGCCCAAAATGCACGTAGTTCTTTTTTTATACAATCAATAATAGCTTGTTCATTCATATATAAAGAAGGGTATTTGTTTCGCTTAACATTTAAGTCAGATAAACTGCACATCTGTTAGATAATTTGAAAACAAAAAGTGGATTTGTCTACAATAGACACATTTTCTATAAGTTGTTTTTAAATAATGTATTGATAAAAACAATACAAATGTATCATTTGGATACTCGTATGGAATATATTTGGAAAACAAAATATTAATAAAGTTTTTAATTACTACAGTTTGAACATTTACATGATGAATTATAATATTTTGTCCTAGAACTCTATACATGTATTAGTATCTGTTATATATTGATATACCATTTTATGTTGATTTACTATGATGTAAACATCCATTTCATTCCTTTTTGGTTTGGTTTTACATGTAATACTAAATACAATATATAACTATCAATATACTTATTTATTTTATTATAGGTCTTCCATAACCGACCTAATAATTTCAAATATATTCCTGCATGCCGGCCTGACAGACATCCTGCCTACTTACATATTAATTTATTGACATGTCCCGTAAGATATCAACTGCCAGCACATTCAAGTTATTTAATTTTTATTCATCAGGATTTCTTTAAATGTTGACATTGACAATGTCAAGTTCGTAGAACTTGCTTGTTTTATGTGTTTGCATGCTTAAGATAAAATGGTATTTGTAACTGAATGATTGGCGTCATGATTTATATTGTTTCTCTCTAATTAAATTGCTCCATTTTTTCTCGAAGAATTGTTGTATTTATATGATACTTATCTAGGAGTTCACATGTAAGAAAAACTTTTTAACATTAACAAAGATACACATAGACATACTTTAAGTCTTTGCTGTTCAGGCAAAAGCTAAACATTTAGTATTTTAAAACAGGCTACATAATTAGCACAAAGTTTAGAAACTAAAACATGATATACTGTAGCATATAACATTTGTATCACGCAATAAGATAATTTATGCCATCTAGCATGATTTGTAAATAGACGATAAATGTACAAAATATACAATAGTCTGTGCTTTAAAAATTCATATGTCAGTTAAATTGTACTACTATTAAAATATATTTTACATCTGAGAGTATAACAGAAATACAATTAAAAATTCTCAATAAAATATAAACTGTCTAGATATATTTGTTATTCATTTTTATAAATGACTTTATGTTAACTAGTTTCAAATGAATGTTAATAATTTATACCCATTTACACACATAACAAAAGTATAAGGTTAATAACCTTATTTTCCACTATTAGTAAAAAGACGAGGTCAAAACATAAATTGATAAAAATACTAAATATAAAACGTTAATAGGTTTTATCTCCATTTTAAGAAGAAAGAAATACACTTATAATTTCCCCGGCGTTATTTTGAGACGCCTGACACCATAACCAAATCTTGGTTTTTTAAGTTTATGTAACACAAACAGTGATGGCAATTAGCAACTGCTTCTTCATGTAAGTTTGCATAATAAAATGATTCAATGGAAGGAGGTGTTGTTAACTCGACATGGTTACATTTATTTTCAAAATAGCAGAGAGCGAGAGAGAGAGTCAATGGGATTTTAATTAGTATTCGCTGTGAAAAGCAATTTACATTTATTTGTCAATTGGCTGCTCTAAATAATTTCATACAAAATAAATATTTTTTTCTCAAATTTACTTTCGGAAATAAAGTACTTACGCTATTTATAATAACCATAATAAAATTGCAAACTCAAATTAACAAATTGATTCCCGCACTGTCATTATCCGGTTCAATGAGAAACCGTAAATAAATTTCAAGATAAATCTAAAACTGCATTATGGACCATACCATAGTATTTACCTGCAATGTTTGATAGAATGAAAATAATTAAAATTTAGAAAAACATTTTTTTAGTCATACGGGTTTCTTTCATTACAAAAATAAAGATTCTTTTCTAATTTATTTGATATCATCAAGTTCAACATTGAACACTATTTTTTGTAATTGGCCTCTGAAAGTGTTGACGTGGACTTGATAAATGATGCATTTGTTGATCATTGTTACAATTTCTATGTCCCAAAAGACCCTTGTCTGTCAATCCCTTAAGGATATCTTTTCTTGAGTGAATTTTCATACAAAACTATCATGACACAAATCCTTATGAAATGCAATAGCATTCAAGTTAAAATTGTAATGCTTAGGTAAGCTTGGTGCATTTGGTGTATTTATTATTTGTATCTTTTGTAAAAAACAACAGTAAATGCAATTAAAATAGATATTTTTTTTTTTTTTTGGAAAAGGCTTTATTAAGTATGAGAAAGACGTCTATTAAAATAATCACGCCTGTCAAGTGTTTAAGTATAATGTGATATTTAATTATATTTCAAACGAAATAGTTGTAACATAGAAATAAATTTATTGATAAATTAATAAAGTAATTATGAAACTACAGTTTAAGCTGATTTATAAACGATTTCGGATATCCAATTCATTTAACTGTTTTCTTTTCCAGGTCCATTTTGGGTGACCCAAATAATTTGTTCAGTCATATAACCATATAACCAAAGTGATGTTAAAATAATTTATCTATCAAACTATATGTATAAGATCAAGGTACACCAGAAGTGACACTGTTAAAATACAGTACGACGTGCCCTATCACACAAAATTGTAACTTATACAATACTTACAATACGGAAGATAAACAGTCAAACAATTTTAAGGTCAAACTATAAAATCACTCATACATTAATGGTATGTTATTATGTTTAGCTTATTTTATGTTATATTTTATGTATACTTTTAGACTATTTAACACAAAATAAACTTTGTTGTTTTTTTGTTGTTTTTTTATTCTTTTCAATCGAACAATAAATATAATCATGATATCATGTCTACTGATTCATGAAAGTTTAGAATGTAAACAAATTACGACAACATTTTATTTACAAACATTAATGCAATATGATCGTCCATATAAACATAAATTACGTTCCGGTGCTTTATTAATAATAGCATGAGCTAATATCTTAGTTCAGCTATAATGAAGCATGACATATAAATAATACTTTTATAAACTTCGTAATGAATCGAAACACACGAAAACCACATTTATTTATGAAACTTTTATTATACTAGACGCGTAATCAGGAAAAGTCTACTTAATGTTTAAATTATTCGGCGTGTAACCGCATCTTATATCACATTTTGTTTTCAAGTATTCTACTTACAACATATGTACCACGGTGTTAAACAAAATGTTAAAATTTACAATAACTATCAAATATGATTGCTAGGAATAAAAAATCAAGAACGAATAGGTTTTTGATAGAAATATCAAACTATCAAAGGTATGTTTGTATTCTTTATTATGTTATAAAAATATACCATGCTTGTTTGTTTATAGTAGAAGAAGATTCAACTTATTGCTTGGCCTGAAACAGTAATTAATAAAACAGTTGTCTTAAAAATTAAAATCAACACAAATTATTATTACCGTAAATAATAATAATAATAATAATAATAATAATAATAATAATAATAAAAATAATAACAAAAATTGTGATAATACTAATAAGAACGTTTGCACTTAATATGTGTAGTAATAGTTACGATACGGAAGGTAAACAGTTAAACAATTTTAAAATCAAACCAAACAGTCACTCATACACTAATGGTATGTTTTTAAGTTTACGTGTAATGAATGACACATTTAATGTTATATTTTTAGGGTATTTAACACAATGCAAGAATAGAGAAAAAAGAACCCCTAAAGAAAGCCCAACACGTCAAAATTGAAAATGTTGCAAGCTCGGTTTGATTGAGCCCGTTCATGGACGGTACTTTCAAGTGCAAATTACCGTCCACTTCCCCCTTAGCACCGGCTTAAGCAGAATTCAACATTAAAATGAACTGGTGCAATTTGGAATTTTGAAACATCTGTTTTTTTTTAACTTATTTCAATCAACCTATAAATATAACCATGATATCACATTTACTGATTCATGAATGTTTAGAATGTAAACATATTACGACATCATTAAATATACAAACATTTATGCAATATGATCGCCCATAAAAATTTAAATTACGTTCCGGGTGCTTTATTAATAATAGCATGACCTAATATCTTACTTCAGCTATAATGAAGCATGACATAATTATAAATCATAGTTTTATAAACTTCGTAATCAATCAAAATTCACCAAAAACCACATTTCTATATATAACCCATACTATACTAAACTATACGCGTAACCAGGAAATTTCTACTTAATGTTTCAACTAAACGATGTGTAACTCATGTGACGTTTTGTTTTCATTCAAAGTACTCTACTTACAAAATATGTACTATGGTGTTAAACAGATGTTTAAATTTTACAATAGCTAATAAATATGAAAGCAATGGATAAAAATTAAAGAAACGAATGGCTTTTTGATTGAAATATCAAACTAGCAAAGGTATGATTGTTTTCTTTATTATGTAATAGGTATATTTCATTATTGTTTGATTATAAAGAAGAAGAATCAACTTATAACTTGGTCTGAAATAGTAGATAACAAAACGTTTTCATACAAATTAGGATCAACACAAATTTTGTAATAATAATAATAATAATAATAATAATAATGATAATAATAATAATAATAATAATAATAATAATAATAATAATGATAATAATTATAATAACACTACTACTACTACTCATAATAATAATAACAACAAAAACAATAAATAAACAACCAATAATGTGATTGTTTTAAATACTTTATACCACGCAATTTCAATCAAACAAGTCCTAAGCGCTAAGCTTTAAAGTAATAATACATAACGATTAGAAACATTAAATTTAAAGAAGAAAACACAGTTGGTTATATAAAATCGTTCAGAAAACCGTATAGATGAATAATATACCTGCCCTAAATTCGTTTAAACATTCACAAGACACAATTAACAATAGCATGTTTATTCATTTATAAAGAAGTGTATTTGTTTCGCTAAACATGTAAAAGGTCTAAGATACACATTGTTTCAATAACATTAAAGTCAAATAAACTGTGCCTCTTAGATAATTAAAAAAAAGATAAATTTCTACAATGGACACATTTTCTATATGTTTTTTTTTAAAACAATGTATTTATAAAACAAAAGAAATGTATCATTTGGATACTCCAATGGAATATATTTGGAAAACAAAATATGACAGAGTTCTAAAGTGATACAGTATGAACATTTATATGATGAATTTTAATATTTTGTCCTAGAACACTGTATTATAATCTGTAATATATTGATATATCATTCTATATTGCTGTATCAGTATGATGTAAACACATATGATAATAAGATACAGTAATTATACTTATTTATTTTATTATAGATCTTCCATTACCGACCAACTTATTTCAAATAATTATATTCCTGCATACCGGCCTGACAGAGAGCCTGCCTACTTACATTCTAATTTATTGACAAGATATCACGTGCTTCAGCTGATAAGACAACACATATCTGTTATCTAATTTTTATTTATGGGCAGTTCCTTTGATGTTGAACTTGACAGCGTCACGTTCGAAGAACTAGTTTGTTTTATGTGTTTGCACGCTGGAACACTTAAGCAAAAATGGTCTTTGTAACTGAATGATTGGCGTCATGTTTTTAATTGTTTCTCTTTAATTAAATTGCACCATTTTCTCTCGAAGAATTGTTGTATTGATATCATAGATGCTTATCTCTTTTGTTTTATTGCTTTACAGGGAGTTCACATGTTAAGGATTTATTATAATGTTTTAACACTAACAAAGATACAAATATACATATTTTAAGTCTATGCTGACAGGCAAAAGTTTAACATTTCGTATTAAAAAAGGATACATAATTACCACAATGTTTATAGTGGTTCGAAACTAAAACATAATATAGAGTGGTATCACGCAATAAGATAATGTATGCCATCTACCTAGATTTGTATCTAGACGATACATTTACAAAATATACAATCTTTTGTTCCTTAAAGGTTCACATGTCGGTTAAGTTTGTACTATTATTGAAATATATTTTGCATCTGAAAGTATAACAGAATAACAAAAAAAAAATCTTTAAAAAATTTAAACTGTAAAGAATTATCTTTATTCATGTTTTATGAATAGCTTTTTGTTAACAAGTTTTAAATGAATATTAATGATTTATACCCGTTTTCACACAGGTTAATAACCTTACTTTCCATTATTAGTAAATTGACAAGGTCAAAAAATAAATTAATAAAAATGCTAAATATAAAATGTTAATGGGTTTTATCTCCAGTTTTAAGAAAAAAGACTTTAATAGTTTCCTGGTGTTCTTTTGAGATGCCTGACACTATAACAAAGGCTTAGGCTTATTTGACTTTTTATGTTTATGTGACACAAACAGTTATGACTACGAGATTACTGGCTTCTTAATGTAATTTTGCATAAAACAATTGTAAAAACAGTCAGATTCAATGGAAGGAAGTGTTGTTAACTCGGCATGGTTACATTTATTTTCATTATACCGGAGAGTGTAAATGGATTTTAATTATTATTCGCTGTGAAAAGTAATTTACCTTTATTTTTCAATTGACAGCTTTAATACATAGTTGTATGAGTATCAGTACATTATTAACTTTGTTTGTTTCGAACATAGATATACAAATTTGTTGTCTATTTTAAAATGTGCCGAAAACATATTGGTGACACATGTAAATTGCGTTGATGGTTTATAATGGTTAATACAACACGATAGAATGTTATTTTACTTTTTAGCTTATTAGTCAAGGCAGTGTCCTATTTCAATAACATTGTAATGTTTCGAAATTAAATTTACATTAAAATACTTACAACATGATGTGATCAAAGCTACAAAAGAGACCTTTTGGCTTTCAAAGAATATGTGATACATCAATCTAGTACCTGCACGTCATGTATTGAATTTGATATATTAGTTGGTATTGTTTTGTAACCGATACATCATGCGTCTGATATATTTACAAGGTATGGTATAAGTGTAACAAATGGGTGGTGTAGCCTTTAGCGAGATAGAGTCGTGATTTTTATAAGATAAAATATTGTTTGAAAAATGTTCAAAGAAATGATTTGGAGATAAAACAACATTTTACTTACAAGGCGAGTGTAGGATAGATAGTGTTTTTCATCTTTAATAATGTGCATGATCTTTTAAACATTTTACTAACATTTTTATTATTCAAGCATTTCCTTTGTATTAAATCTTTTTACAGTACTCTGATCCTTTAAAGCAATTTGTGTTTCAAGCTTTTCAGTGAAGATGCAGTATGATAATTTTACAGTGTAATTATGAAACAGAAAGTTGGTTTTTAAGTAGTAGCCCAACTATATTTGCAAATATCAAACATGAATGGATATTTTGTCGATGAAAGTAAAATTTGCAAGCGATTAGGAAGCTCATATATATTTACGCAAAATATTTAAGAAATGTAACGCAATTTTCGATAAAATTTACTGAATTATTTTCAAAATAAACATTGTAATGTCATAAAAGATATGATATGACGTAACGGGATGGAAATTCAAAATTATGAATAAAAACATGTTTGTTTTGCATGAAAGATCAAATTTCACTTGTGAATTTCAACTGTTATTAAGCCTGTCGTTTGGTGTTCACTTTATGAAATATTATGTGCATTTTATGCATTGTTCATGTACAATACTGAATACTATTTGAGCCGTGTCACGACAAAACCAACATAATGGGGTTGCGACCAGCATGGATCCAGACCAGCCTGCGCATCCGCGCAGTCTGATCATGATCCATGCTGTTCGCTTACAGATCCTATAACAAGTAAAGAAACTGATAGCGAACAGCATGGATCCTGATCAGACTGCGCGGATTCGCAGGCTGGTCTGGATCCATGCTGGTCGCAAACGCACTATGTTGGTTTTGTCGTGACACGGCTCATTTGAAGTGTACACAGCTGTAAAATCTATATTGTACAAGGCGCGAACCGAGGTTGACAAAGGTTTTGCAGTTAGGTACAAATCAAATAATGAACTCTTTACTTCACACCCGAAATTCTTATTGAGAAAACACAAAAACTTTAAAACTTTTGTGTTTTTGTATAATAGTTTAAGTTACTGCGAGTACAGTGAAAAATTCCATGAAAAAACTTTTGGACTCCGATAATGAAACCAAGGCTAGGTAGAGCAAAATGGTTGATTCAATATAGATTTGTGTAGGCTCGAGAAATGAAAACGTTTCTAGATAGAGTACAGTATGCATTGATACGGATATTTTTTGGACTCGGAAAATAAAAATCAAGGCTGAAATTATTAGATTGTATCCAATTACGATTTATATTGGAACATCACATGTTGTAGTTCTTAAGGCAATATTATGATGTGTAACATAAATATCGATCTAACATGCAAATCAAACAAATATCGTCCAGGTAGGGGCGTTTTAATCATTGTTCCGACGTTACGTAATACGTCTTTCCACATGTGGGGTCCAAAACCCCTTTTTTTACAGTTAAGTGGGTGAGATTCTTTAGACAATTTTAAATTTTTACTAATTAAATTTATCTTTCCATCAATCAGAAACAGAAAGTAAGGTATAAGAAGGTTCAATATTTTTTTCAGTGACAGATATGGATGCAGCAGTTGTTACAGCAGCTTTGAGTTTCGTTTTACTATATCCTAGTGTACACTGTTCTATGAAGAAAGGTCTAGGCGTTTCTCCTACATTATACAAATGTGATGACCTTGCAGCATTCACAAACATGTACTGGTGGTATGTGATGTCCATTTTCATTTTAATATTTCAAACATATTTCTGGGCGTTTCAAATTCAACTTTAGTTGTACCAGTTCATGTTAAATGTTGATTTCTGCTAAAGCCGGCGCTAGGGGGATGTACAGTAGTTTCCACTTGACAATACCGCCAAAGAAGAGGCTCAATCAAACCGAGCCTGCAACATTTCATTTCTGCCGTGTTGGGCTTTCTTAAGGGATTCTTATTTGCTCAATTTTAATTGTACATAATTATATCAACTATTGTGAAAGAAGTGTTTACCTTTAAAACCGGTCTTTAGTCCTCGATTGTGCAAAAACAGATGCATATGCAAACTTATTTAAAAGACCTTAAGAATAAGCATCTTGTTTGTAATGTTCATCGCTGATTTCTTTGTACAGGTACGACTGGGGCGCCAATTTTGATGTAATTGAAAAACACAGTAAATGCGATTTGAGCTCACATAGTGATACATACGTTCCTATGATATGGGGATACAGATCTTCTTGGCCGGCACGAGTGCGAGAGATAGACAAGACAAACAATAAGTTTTTATTAGGTTTCAACGAGCCCAATCATCAACATCAATCTGACTTGACCCCAGCTGAGGCTGCTGCAGCCTGGCATTTGGTGGAAGAGGCTGCGAATGGAGCGAAAATTGTTGGCCCTGCGGCGGCTGAATGCGGCGCAGATTGTAACGGACAAACAATCGAATGGTTTGATGCATTCTTTGATATTTTATGCGAAAACGAAACTTCATCCCCGTGTAGGATGGACTATCTTGCAACTCATGTATACTCGTGCAGTGCTACACAAACGATGAATTTTCTGCAAACACTTTATCAGAAATATAATTTAAAAATTTGGCTTACGGAATTCGCATGTCCTAATTCAGACTACCCAGAGGAACAGTTATATGAATACATGCAACCATTGTTGGATATGCTTGAAGACGCGGATTTCATATACAAGTTTGTATAAACACTTACAGTTTATATACAAATGACCTGTAGGGACATTTCAACTTAGTGAATGCCCGATTTCATCTTCATGAATTCAGAATTTTAACTTTATAAAACTCACGATTTCAACTTCACAAATTGAACTACATGAATTCAAAATTTTAACTTCATAAATTCACGATTTCAACTTCACGAATTCACGATTTCAAGTTCATGAATTCAACTTCGTGAATTCAGGATTTCAATTTCACGAATTCACGTTGAAATCGTGAATTTATGAAGTTGAAATCGTTAATTCTTGAAGTTGAAATCGGGAAATCATGAAGTTGAAATGTTTCCACAGGTCTTTCGTATGTATCTGATATGCTATAATGTTTGGTATATAATGAGAAATTTAATAAGTGGCTTAAGCAAATGTCGGAAACAAGTATCCCTGTTTTATCATTTACAATTGTCCGGGCATTAATAACATTTTTAAAGCAAGTGAACAACACAATTACATTTATAAATGTTTCAAGGACTAATCAATATGATCTTCGCTGAATCCTTTGGCAGTTCAATATTTGACTAAAAAAAAGTTCGCAACCATAAATGCGTGAACTACAAGTTTGCAACTAAAATGCTCTTGAACAAAGTTTTTTTGTGTATTGAAAGTTTATTTGGAACATGCAATTTCAAACATTTACACAGTATTGAAAGATACATATTTTGTCTTGTTTGGTCAACTTTAAAACTTACAGATGCGAATAACTGAGCATAAAGATCGCCCTGAACTGTCACTTGTCTAATCTCAAAATATGTACATAACCAGTTTATATCTTCAATAATTTCGTTACATCAGAACTTTTGAAGCTGAGACCTTAAACCGAGTGTATCATTATCATTGCTTTAAGGAATCGGCATATTGAAGAATTTCAAAATAGTGATGAAAATGCGTGCAGGTGTTGTAAATATTTATGACTCTGTAACCATTTTGTCAAGTTTTCAACCAATTTTCTCGCTTGAACTAAGTGTGCAACCACTTCACGAAACATAACCTAGTTAGTCAGATAGATAACGCGATAATTATATAATTATTCAACTGTTGGCTTAAATATGCCACCATACATGAGAGATAAAAAATATGCATATTATAACGTATAGTTTGAATAATTATCATTAATACCTTTTGTTCTAAGTTTTTGCTTTAATTACTAAAAATGCATGCATGTAAGATACAGACATACAATAAGCCATTTTGTCAGTATAAAAATATTTCATTAAAGGCCCATTAAGTCCCAGCAATGAATTTCTAAATAACGTGAAGATGTATTTTTGTTGTACTAATATACATGTATCTAAAGCATGTTATTTGCTTATCACAAGAAGAAAGTAGTACTAGATGTAAAATAGTTTAAATACAGGTTGCAAAATGAAAACAATATTTGAGCCGCGTCATGACAAAACCAACATACTGGGTTTGCGACACCAGCATGGATCTAGACCAGCCTGCGCATCTGCGCAGTCTGATCAGGACCCATGCTGTTATATAAGCGAACAGCATGAATCCTGATCAGACTCCGCGGATGCTCAGGCTGAATTGGATCCATGCTGGTCGCAAACCCATTATGTTGCTTTTGTCATGACGCGGCTCATTTAATATGATTCTTTATAGATATGCATGGTATATGGCCCGCTCAAATGATACCCATGGTAGGTTTGTAACAAGGGCAGTAAGTCTGTTGGACCAGACGACCTCAGTACTTACCGAACTTGGTCAATATTACAACAATTTCTACAGACCATTTACGACAACTACCGAAAAGGCAACAAGTATTACTACTTCTTCTTCTACCTCTTCTACAACTTCTACGACCTCTGTCCAAAGTACTTCAACATCTGCATCAACATCAACCACATCGGCATCATCAACCACAACAACCACATCGACATCTTCGACCACAACAACAGTCCGGCCGTCAACAACGACTTATGCAGGAACTACTGTAGATAGTGGTACCGTTACATATTATTCTATGTACAACAACGTTGTGTTTACTTTAGTATATGTGTGTATATCTTATTTTATTTTGTTTTAATATCTTTCTCCTTGTTAGAAATTTCATTCATATTATGCATATATCAAAAAGGAACTAAAGTAATAAAAAATCAATAAGGGCCTGATGTCAAACGTTTTACTTTGAATGAAACATACAGGACAACACCATGATAAAGTTATCAATAACTAAACTCAAGTTGTTCACGAAAAGCTAACTGTTGAACGAAATGTATAATTAATTTCAGACTAGTTTACATGCTTATGTTCATCAATTATCACTCATATAATAATATTGTATGCGAAATGGCAGAATCAAACAAAACTTTAAAATCAAAACCAAACGTCAACATTCTTTATCTTCTTATTTTTAAATTATTACAATTATTGATTTACGCTAAGACAGGCGATTAAATAATATTTATTTTATGCTTTTCAGTGGATTACTGATTTATCCGTGAAAATTATATTTGGTAATTTCACAGTGAAAATTATCAAAATATAATTTCACTTTTTTCAATGACGAAACTACTTTTTTAAAATTTTCCCCATGCGGTACCTCAATTTTATTTTTGCTGACAATTCAGACAATGTCAGGCTGTTTAAAGAAAAAGGAAAGCTGAAATTGATAAATACCTTAAACGTCAAAAGTAATAAAAAGAAGAAAACTTACTTCTATTCATTCAAATTCCAATCACCAAATTTCGTCTCTAAATTTTTTGTTTCATTTTTACAGTCTGAAAAATACATTCCTTCCACATGCAAACTGCTCTTGATGACATTTGGGCATATTAAAGTATCCTACGAGTAATAACTGCCGTATGCTTTATGAAAAATTGAAAAGCAATGACAGCTACAGCTCGTAGAACAAGTAAACCAACCCAGCGTTCCGAGCAAGTTCCAAGTCTTCCATTTTCATAGCTGCTTTTTTCATGTTTTCACATCTGTCAACACTTAATTTTTGTCTGTTTCAATCCTCAAATATGTTTTCTTTCTTTTAAAAAGGTGTATGACTAACAATTCCAAATGATATCCCTCTGAATCAAACACAAATTATTTTCCTCCCGTGAAATACACAACTTTCAAAAATGGCTGCCGCGTACATTTAACAAAGCCAGGACTAATATAAATTCGCAGTAGGTAACAGAAATATGGATGGATGGTTGGAATTTTCTCCTACACGAATTGTTTGTTTGTTTTTTATTAAAACAAGCGATCATTCATATTTTTTAAACAAAATAAATAATATCACTGTCATTTAATGTTGATTGTCGGACTTATTTTTCAGCTCAAGACTTATGGTTTTTAATGAGAAATTCGCACGAAATGGGGCTCTCAATGGGGAAACAGATTTTAATATTTATGTTAATATTATGGAAATTTCGTTTAAACTTATTTTTTAGCATAAAATAAAAAGAAAATTTGTTTGTTTGTTGTGTAAGATGTAATTTTATTTCATCTCGTGAACTTTAAAAACAGTATTCTCACTCGTGGCTACGCCACTCGTGAGAATACTGTTTTTAAAGCCCACTCGATGAAATAAAATTTCATCTTACACACAAACAAACAAATATCCTCTATATTCTTAGAGTAAATGTCAAATTTGAGCTCTTATGGAAGTAATGTAATCAAGAAGGTTGGATTTTTTTATTTGAGGGAAAGCATTAAATTGATAAGCAATGCATTGCTGCACAGCATCGATAAAAATCAGTATCTTTTTTTTTTCAAATTAAAAGAGTATTGATAAAAAATATTGAACTGCATTGAGAATTGAAGCAATTTTCATGACGTCATTTAGTTTACGTCACATTGACATGCATTTTGTAAGTTTGTTTTTTCTTTAATGACGCACTACGACAGTCAAGTCGACTGTGTAGGCAGACACTACTTTTTACGGTTGTATATAGTGATAGGTTTTCTTTATTCAGCACAAATATTTTCTAACACTTGTTTTAAAAAAAAATAGCGGGTCATATGTTTCAATTGATGTTGTAAGAATAATGTTATATAATGTTTAATTGCATAGCAATTAATGTCCTTGGAAAAGTGTGATAATTGAAATTATTCTGTGATATAGATAGTTATTAAAGTAGTTTATTATTAGCTTTTTTAAATCGTATTATGATGTTAATGGGCAAGCGTATGAGATTAAATCCTTCAAAATGATGTTACGTAATAGACTGATGTGCTTGTAAAAGGAATACCAAATACAAAATTATTACATGAATGCAGTGACAGTGTGTATTTGACAACAAAGATTTTAATGCTAGCTTGTCTTTATGTTGTATTTGAAATAATTTTCATATTGCAATGTACAACTAAACTATTCACTGTATCTATGTCTGAAATTATATTTCTGACTCTTTGATAATCTGCACAATAATACAATTGAGCCGTGTCACGAAGAAACCAACATAATGCGTTTGCGACCAGCAGTCTGGTCAGGATCCATGCTGTTCGCTATCAGTTTCTGTTCTTGTAATAGAGTTGGTAAGCGAACAGCATGGATCCTGATCAGACTGCGCGGATGCGCAGGCTGGTCTGTATCCATGCTGGTCGCAAACGCACTATGTTGGTTTTGTCGTGACACGGCTCACTTATAATCATATACATCATTTTGATCTCATTGATTGAAGTGGTTTATCATAATACTGTATATCATACAAAAGTACAACACCAATTGGTTGAACACTTTGTATTAAGAGTTAGAGGTTTGCGATATTATATTATTTAACATCTGCAGTGCAACTCCCTTTGGGATACAAATCTTTTTGTTGTAGCTTAAAGTTGTTGCTCTACGTTGTTGTACAGCGGTTATTTCTCTATGTTGTTGTACAGCGGTTATTGCTCTACGTTGTTGTACAGCGGTTATTGCTCTACGTTGTTGTACAGCGGTTATTGCTCTACGTTGTTGTACAGCGGTTATTGCTCTACGTTGTTGTACAGCGGTTATTGCTCTACGTTGTTGTACAGAGGTTTTTGCTCTACAGAGAGTCGCTCTGCAAAGGCTTTACAGATGTACAAACAAAATATGTTAATTGAATTGTTCAAAACAAACGTTTCTTTGACATATTATTTTGTAAATGGTTTTGTTTAAATGATATATTTGTTATAGATTTGAAATGTTACTTGTTATTTATATGTAGTTTTCTTAGTTTTCTTTGTGAGATCGTGGAAAAAAAATATTTTCCCTCAAATTATTCAAACATACTTTGTACTTCAGATATAAACAAAATAACATTAGTCATTTTGAATTCATCACTTTATATTTAAAAGGTTAATTAAAATAGGCAAATATAGTTGAGTCGAAAAGTCTTGTAGCTACTGATTCGAAATATAGACTTACCTTAATTTCCTGCTGAAAATCTTAGGTTACTGTCGCATACTTGCGTTCGAAGATTGGATGATTTTATATTTAAATCCCTTAAATAGCATGCTTTACAATGTTTATGAAGTCGCTCCCCACTACTGTTACTTTCTCTACAGATTTTAAATATTAGATACAATATAAAGGCATAGATCAAAACGTAAAGGCGGCATAAAATGAACGTACCCCGCATCAACATTAGATTTCTGGCATTGAACCCAGCAGGGCGCCAAAGAGTGGCCAAATTTAAGAAATAGTGTTTCGTATATTAATGCGCTAAATGAAAACATGTATTATTTAAACGTACCTTATCTCTCATATCTATACGGTACAGATGTGCAATAAATTCTGCAACTTTCCTGCTGAAATAGATATACTCATAGGAAATTGGCAGATTGAGTGTTATTATTAAAATATTGATTAATACAAATAAAGTATACATTATGTTTAACATCACAATTATCTGACAACATTTCCATATAATGGAATAAGTTATCTTACCTGTATATGTTTTTATGTGTTATACATTTTACACATGCAAAATATTTGATATAATTGTTAAGTTCTGATGCAGCCTTCGAAAGACTGTGTTTTCTTTCTTGTTTGTTTGTTTTTTATATTGCTTCTTTGGTTTTTATTTTTAAATTCTATTTCAATATTTTGCACTGACTCTTTAAATGTCATACAGCGAATTTCCAGCTATACTGGTGGAGGAAGACCTCATTATGCTACTTCGTGTATTATTTTATGGCACGGCTCATATATCTGCTAAACTTTTCCTCTATTGCTGCATTTGTCTAACAGCGATTATTCATTTGTTAAAAAATAAGGATTTACTTTTATTTTATTATTTATTATTGTTATGTTCGTTTTATCTTGTATGTTTCATAGAGACTGACAATACTTATTAAGGTGTATTATAGAACCTGGTTTTCGACAAGAAATTTGAAGAAAAAAAACAAGGAAAAACAATGGTAATTGTTACAGTATTAATAACACGTTGCAATAATTATCATACTATGATGATCACTTAAAAGCAGCACGCCTCCAGATTCACTCTAATTTTCAACAAAATTTGAATATGTATTTAACAGTATAAGTTTGTAAAGTTACCAAAAGTATGCACTTAACACATTATCAATGGCACTTACAGTCTAAGTAAATTACTATTAAGAGGTCAAAATATGCAAAAATAGCCCTTACTGCGTTAGTAACGTAGTAGAAATATAGTGATAAATACGGAAAAATGCGGTCATTAATCGCACATAACATGTTAATTTTTACTAGAATTTTGAATCTTTATACTTTTCCTAAAATCTTAGTACATTTTTCTCAGGTTTGATTTTAACGAAATATTTTTGCTCATTTGGAGGCGTGCAGCTTTAAATGGTTTTTGAATATTCAGCGAAATTATATCAAATTGAAATATCTCATCATGTTCTACGTACAGTTTAGTAGTTTTGAACGTTATCGTTAGAATTTAGTGTGGGTGTTGAATAACCGGTGCACGCTTGTTTCTGAATACGCTCCCTTCGCAGCACAGTGAAAACACTCCGACCAACATAATGGGTTTGCGACCAGCATGGATCCAGACCAGCCTGCGCTTCCACGCAGTCTGATCAGTATCCATGTTGTTCGCTATCTGTTTCTGTACTTGTTATATGGTTTGTAAGCGAACAGCATGGATCCTGATCAGACTGCGCGGATTCGCAGGCTGGTCTGGATCCAAGCTGGTCGCAAACCCATTATGTTGGTTTTGTCGTGACGCGGCTCAAATGGTATTCTGCTGTATATACAAATTAATAATACTGCATTGATGAAAGAAAGATTTGTTTCAAAATTATATTATTATAGTTTTATATTTTACTGATACTATGCATAGTCATTTTATTAATATCACTGACTCAATTCTCACACTGGGTGTTTCTTTGATAATTAAGGAGTGTCGGGGATGTAAAGGGATGAAATACTTCTACCCCAATGTCTGATGGCATGTTGCACGCGACATGCAATTATAACCGGGCTAGAACTCTAATGACTATATCTGCTTACAACAGTATATTTTGATAGATCATACAATTTCCTTATTACGTTTAAGGGATTTTTATATTGTTATTATTTTATGATTTACTTGAGAAAATAAAAAACATGACTAAACATTGTTTAAGTACTTTAAAAGTATGCAGGTTTCAAAAATGAAAAACACCATACTTCATTTGTAGCAACTTTTAATTGTTTTTTCTATCTATGGCTGTTCATTTTTCTATTGCATACTTTTACAACCTTTTCAACTTTAACAATGTGTGATAACTTTGTTACTTGTCATCTCGTGTTTGTAATAATTTTCCTGTTATCAAAATGAAAGTTTTATCTAATAAAAGGTCACCTTATTTCAGTAATATATTAACTGCTATTACGTTTCAATGGGAGTTAACCCATTACCGCACTAAGATGACAAAGAAGTCTGTTTAATATACTTTTCATTATATGAGCCGCGTCACGACAAAACCAACATAATGGGTTTGCGACCAGCATGGATCTAGACCAGCCTGCGCATCCGCGCAGTCTGATCAGGATCCATGCTGTTCGCTATCAGTTTCACTATTTGTCATAGTCTTTGTAAGCGAACAGCATGGATCCTGATCAGACTGCGCGGATGCGCAGGCTGGTCTGGATCCATGCTGGTTGCAAACGCACTATGTTGGTTTTGTCGTGACGCGGCTCATATATATTTTCTTTGCAATACGTATTTACTTTTAATAGAGATACAAATAATATAATTTATAAAAGACACAAGATTGCTTAACTGTTTTAGATATAATATTGTTTTTGTTCCACAGATATCATATCAGATATGAAAATAAAAATCTTTATCGTTATTATGCTCTAGTTCTTCTTTTACTTTCCTCCATACTTAAAGCATTATTTTTTATGTATGTCCTGCAACATGAACACAGTTTCACTTTTTGATGGTGTGACGAGAGCTTATGAACATTTTTAAAATGATGTTTCTGTAGTTGGCCTTCTATTAATAAATCTGAATCTTTATTAAACCCTAAATCGAAAATAAAGCTACGCAATCTTCCGAGGTTTTTATGTTTTGCGAATAGGGAGAATATCTTGATGGTGTCATATCATAATTAATCATTTAATCTTTGTGCAACCTGCTATTTCCTTATTAATAAAAGACCTTTCAGGAATAGTATTCTTAATTTTCATGTTCTGTCTGATCTTATGTTTATAAAAGTATACATGTATATGAGCCGCGTCACGACAAAACCAACATAATGGGTTTGCGACCAGCATTGATCCAGACCAGTCTGCGCATCCGCGCAGTCTGATCAGGATCCATGCTGTTCGCTTATCAACTCTATTACAAGTAGAGAATCTGATAGCGAACAGCATGGATCCTGATCAGACTGCGCGAATGCGCAGGCTGGTCTGGATCCATGCTGGTCGCAAACCCACAATGTTGGTTTGGTCGTGACACGGCTCATATGTTTTTGCTATAAACATTGTAATAATGTTTTATTTGCAAGAAAGTCATTTGTATCGTATTTTATTCGAAACCACAATCGTCCAGACAATGCAATGAACAATAAAATAAGACAGGTTAATGCAATAGATAAACAGTCTGTGTTTTAGATATGTACCATATTATGTAGCATATGCCCCACCTAGGGGTATATAGTGAGTGAACAGGTGAAAGTCCCAATAAGTTTACATTTTGCAATAATTCCTTTCAATTTAATAACATACTTTGCATGAACTATGCATATCTCACGTGACCCAATGAAAGTTTTGTAAATGTCCATCCAAATTTACCTATAACGTTTAATTTAAAAAAGAGTGGGGCAGGTTTTTATATTGAAGGCAGATTTATATGTTACCCTAACAATTTACCGATATAAGCTGTTAGTCAATCATCAATTTAACAGCATATCTTATGTTTTAAAACATACAGTCACTTCATCTCAACTTGACAATGAAAAAATAAGCATAATGTCACTTTTGCTTTGATTTACACACTTACTTATAAGTACTTCAAGTAGGAGTTTCCGGATTAGTAATTGTCATACAACCCCATAAAAACCTCACTAAGCTTTTTCAAAGATTCGACGATGAAGATAATAAATCTTTGCGAGTGTTTTATATTTTATAACACATTTTTGTTCTCATTTACCCACGGATCTGTTAAAAAGGGCGTTGGTGTTGACCCTCGTGGATTTCTGTGTGATGACTTTAAGGCGTTAAACAACATGTTTTGGTGGTAAGTTTTCTTTGATTACACATCGGAAGTGATTATATAATCTTCAAAACGTCTTTGTGTTAAAATCAGATGTCTATGGATGAAGTAACAAGAACACAATTTACATCTGTAAGGCAAAGCATCGATCTGTTTGTGAGAAGCAGGTGAAATTAACGGGAATTTATCTGTAACAAAATCATAATAATTATTATAGAATTTACTGTAGTCATGATATATCATCAAGTGTTGCTATTATTGTAAATTATTCGTTCAAACTTATCTAGATAAAACCTGTGTATTTAAGCTGAACCGTACTTTCTTATTACAGGTACGATTGGGGTGCAAATCTTGAAAATATTCGTAAAAACAGCAATTGCTCTAACATCTACCGATACATTGACAACTTTATCCCAATGATATGGGGGCGCTGGACAGTACGTAATGTTAGTATACCAGACCAAGCCGCTTACTTGCTAGGTTTTAATGAGCCAAACCATTTCGAGCAATCTAATCTCACTGCGTTGGAGGCAGCTAACTATTGGCCAGATATTGAGAAACTTGCAAATGGACGACTTCTCGTAAGCCCAGCAGCTGCCCAATGTGGTGGACCTAAGTGTCACGGCAATACAACTCAGTGGTTTGATAAGTTCTTCATGTACTGTCGAGGTTGTAGGGTTGATTACCTAGCAACGCATTACTACAGTTGTAATGTAGATGATACAATGGCTTTCCTAAAAAATCTGTTCGAGCGATATGGAAAGAAAATATGGCTCACAGAATTTGCCTGTCCATATGCGGTTAGTCCTGCCAAAGAACTAAAATTTATGAAAGAACTACTCCCGAAACTGGAAGCAGCTCCGTTTATATTCAGGTACATTAATATTATGCATAAATCTATTTAAATTACACCTTATCAATCACCATGTGACAGATTGGTTTTGAAACAAATAAGATTTGATAATTGTTTGATCTAGAAAGCATATAATAACCTTTGTATAACCACCTCCGCTGCCTGAAATATATTTTGCATATTCAAAACTATACAATCCTGAAAGGTTTACCTACGGATAAATATATCTGAAAGCATTTGATTACTTTTCTAGTATTACAAATATTATAGTGATGCAGTGTTAAACATTTTTCAGGTATGCGTGGTTTGCTTCTCGTATAAAGAAAGGAACTTTTGTCACTCCCGCCTCAAGCTTGCTACAATCCGACTCGTCTACACTTACAACACTTGGGTCATTTTACAACGATTTCACAACGAACGAAAATGCAACAGAACCTTCATCAAATGCAACAGAACCTTCATCAAATGCAACAGAACCTTCATCATGGTTTAGGATGCTTCTTAAAGGACTCAGATGGATATGGACCTTTGTTTTAAGTATATAGAAAGTAGATTATGATAAACATTTGCAAACATACCAAAATAAAAAAGAAATATTTTATATCGTGTGAAAATGTTCTTATTTTGTTAAAAATCCCGTAACTCAATTTTTTATGGTTTTATGTCATAAATATAATGCTCAAATGAAGATTTATCAATTATATTGAAAGTTTCAAAAAGCATTGTTTGTAAAGATATTACCGAATTTACATTTTATTAATAAAGGGATGGAATTAGAAAGCTTTTTTTATAAAGTCTAGGTCAAATTGTTTAGTAAGAAATGAATGCATATATTTAAATGATTACATATAATGTGGACAAATATTTCCAGTACATATTTAACATATTGTTCGATGTTTGAAAATTGCTTTAGAAGCATTATTAAATACATATTATAAAAATTTACTTAAGCATGGTAACAACCTTAATAACAACATACTGGATCTTAAAATATCTGGAAAAATGTTGCCATTAAAAACTATTACCTATTTGATATCGCTTACTGTTCGTGATGCTTTGTGTTGGCATTCGTCATCACAAAAAGTATTATCTTTCAATGTATACATTTACATACATACCCCATACTGGTCATTCCTTTTAGTGCAATAGGAAGAACAACCAAATGGCAATCCGGGGGACGCTGATTCCATTCTTGGTTTAGGTAAATTTGTCCATGACAATTTATCTCTGATATTGACTCTAAAGAATATTTTACTTTTATTGATGATTCAGAAAATCATATGATATGTGTAGCAGTTGACTTGAGGAGAAATTGGTAATTGCTGACATCCGTTTACTTAATGGGCCGCTTCAATATGATCAAAATATGTATAAATCTATAAAAAAAAAAAGAAAGAAAAAAAATCAAACAGATAATCAAAAGTTTTGCATTGGCTAGTTTTCGATCAAATTTCACTGAGACATTCGAAAATAATGTGCAAACTTATTCATTCAGTCATTCGTAATCATTAAATGTTATTATCATTTCGTGTTATACATGTATGACATTAATAAATAATGCTTGTTAGAATACAGTCAGTACTCACCTTTATATAAATGTAGTGTGATACGTTTTGTTAATAAAAGTATTTTCTATCGAATGTGTCAATCTCGAATTATGGGACAAGAAA